TTTCCTTTCTTTCCTTTCCTTCTGTTCTTTTCCAGTTCGGTTCTATTCCTCCTACTCCTCCTTCTACCCTCTTCGGGTGTATTATTTAATTATTAATTACTTACTAATTCTTAGAGATTCCTTTTCATTGGGTTTGGTTTTACTTGTTTAGTCATTCTTCTTTTGTTTGCGCTTGTATTCCGTCTTTGGGTATTTTATTTGCTTCCCATTGGCGCTCCGCTCTTTTAATCTTCACAACTTCTTATTTCTTTTTCTCTTTCCTTCCCCGAGATTGCTTTTGCTTCCCCTTTACTCCTTAATTGAAAGCACCTCTTAATTCTCTTCTACTCCCTTCTATGTTGCGCTATAGGGGTTGTTTTGGGTGGATTACTTACCCTTAAGATTGATCACTCCGCAGTCTTTAAAAGAAATGGGCGTTCGGTCGGCTGTTCCTCCAGCTTCCAGGTCCCTGGAGTGGAGACCCTAAACACAATCCGCTGCCCTTGTGCCTCCTTTGGTCCGGGTCTACTGGCTGGTCCCCTTGAGGGGGTTCGGCGCTTGAGACCGTTGGATTTAGGGACTGAGGGCTTTGCGTTCCTCGGACTCTTGATCCGGCTTGAGGGTGAAGGCTTATTTTGCCACTGCTCACCATTTAGGGATTGACTCTGGGGAGCTTCCCTAGAGTCCAGCCAGCAGCCATGTATTCCGAACCGGAAGTCAAATTAAAGATAAAGTTTTTAATGGTTCAGCTCCCCAGTTGAAAGACTTAGATAGCAATTGAAAGACTTAGATAACGTTTCAGCAACAGAAATTCACTGAATGGAGCAGATCAAGCTGTGTTTTTCAAATGGGTGCTCTCGGTGAATGGTTTGCAGAGTCTCCCTCATTTATTTAGCAACTAGCCGTCCCCTGCCATGCGTTGCTCTGGCCCACATGGGGGTTCTGTGTAGGAAGTTTGGCCCAATTCTATCCTTGGTAGGATTCAGAATGCTCTGTGTTTGTAGGTGAACTATAAATCCCAGCAACTGCAACTCCCAAATGTCAAGATTCTATTTTCCCCAAACTCCACCACATTTGGGCATATTGACTATTCGTGTAGAGTTTGGTCCAGATCCATCATTGTTTGAGTCCACAGTGATCTCTGGATGTAGGTGAACTACAACTCCAAAACCAATGGACACTACCCACCAAATCCTTCCAGTATTTTCTGTTGGTCATGGGAGAACTGTGTGCCAAGTTTGGTTCAATTCCATAGTTGGTGGGGTTCAGAATGCTTTTTGATTGTAGGTGAACTATAAATCCCAGCAACTACAACTCCCAAATGACAAAATCATATATTTTTTTAGTGAAGGACATACATTGGGTTGTTAGATGTCTTGTGTCTAAATTTGATGTCAATTTGTCCAGTTTTTTTTAGTTCTCTTAATCCCACAAATGAAGATTACATTTTTATTTATATAGATAGAGAAGCCTCCTCGCAGGATTGCAAGACATCCGGGCGTCCCCTGGGCAACATCTTCATAGACGGCTGATTCTTTCAATCCAGAAGCAACCAGAAGCGACTTGCAGCATGCAAACAAGCAAGCAAAACAACCAACTGACCTTTTCAGGACCAACCATGACAATAATCTGACAACATTGAAGGCATGTCAGCTGCCAAAGAACAACTGCTCTATGAACTGTGCCAAGTTGAGAAATGCAATATGCTGTGTGTCCAAGAAACACACAGGGATGAACAACAGAAATGACCCAAAGTTCCAGGAATTGTCTTAGTAGTGGAAAGACCACAAGCGCAGTATGGAAGTGCTGTCTTTGTAAAACCAGGCCTCCAAGTCAGCAGTGCCCACAACACTAAAGAAAACAATATAGAGGTTATAACAGTAGAGCTTAATAACATCACCATCACCTCTGTGTACAAGCCCCAAATGAAGAGTTTTGCTTCTCCTCCCCCGAGAACTTTGATAGGCACCAAAGTAATTGGTGACTTTAAAAGCCATAGCCATGTATGGGGCTATGCTCAAGAGGATAAAAATGGAGAGGCTGTCCTCTCCTGGTCTGAAATGGACAAACTATTACTCATTCATGATAGTAAGCTCCCACCATCCTACAACAGCGGGAGATGGCACTGAGGTTATAACCCAGACCTCTTATTTGTGAGCGACAGCATTGTACAGTGACAGCATTGTACAGCAATGCACTAAATCAGTGGGACCACCAATTCCAAACACACAGGACCGACCAATAGTATGCCAACTGTTCCCAACTATAAGGCCTCAGGAAGTTCGATTTAAACGAAGATACAACTTCAGAAAGGCAGATTGGACTAAATTCTCAGACATGTTAGATGACATGATCACATCGGTAGTGCCAATCCCTGAGAAATACGAGCACTTTATTGAAATAGTGAAAACCTGCTAACGGGCCTCTATATCGAGAGGCTGCAGAACCAACTACCTTCAGGGCATTACTCCTGAAACAGCTGCCTTGTTGGAAAACTATTACAGGCTCCACAACGAAGACCCATTTAGCGAGCAAACCCCTCAGGCAGCGCAGAACATTGTGTCCTCCATCTCTGAAACCAAGAAAGAACAGTGGATAAAGCTGATCACAGAGGTCGACATGGGCGGGAGCAGCCAGAAGGCGTGGAGGCTGCTAAGACGGCTGAGCAATGACCCCTCAATGACCCCTCACAAACTAATGCATATGCCAACATAAAGGCAGATCAGATAGCACACCAACTCTTGAAGACTTTCTGTATATATTTCAGATTTCAATATTAATGTCAAAAATACGTAGTATGATTTCACATAGGATTTGTGCTACATTAGAACAGTCAAGACAAATATCACTTAAGTGAAATAAACATTAAATATTAAATAACCAGAAAAATAAAATAAGGTGTAAACACGAAACTAATCTGGGAATCTGCTATTGCAACATATCCAATGAAGTGGTTTAAAAGCAGTATAAAAAAAAGATTAGGACTAAGTACGTTCCAGGACTAAGTACTTTGCCCCCAAAGTAGGAAAGAAACCAATAGCCAGACAACAAGAGATTGAGAACAACAACCTTCATTAACCCTTTACAACTACTGAATTAGACATGGCTCTCAATAAATGTAAAAATGGCAAAGCAGTTGGCCTGGGTGACCTACGGATGGAACAAATCAAGAACTTTGGTCCAAATGCAAGGCACTGGCTGCTGGAGCTGATGAACAACTGCACTGCATCCTGTCAGATCCCCAAAATCTGGAGGAAAGCAAGAGTCATCGCCATCTTGAAGCCAGGCAAAGACCGTAATGACCCAAAAAGCTATAGACCAATCTCCCTGTTATGCCACCTCTACAAAGTTCTGGAGAGACTTATTTTGCATAGAATTACGGAAAAAAATATACCTATGTCTGATCCCACAGCAAGCTGGCTTCAGGAAAGGCAAAAGCTGCACATCGCAAGCGCTGAACCTGACTCAGCACATAGAAGATGGCTTTGAAAGGCAGCAGATCACAGGAGCTGTCTTCATAGACCTGTCCGCAGTTTATGATACTGTGAACCACTGCCTCCTCCTGAGAAAAATGTATAATATCACAAAAGGACTACCACCTCACCCGCTTCATAGGAAACCTGCTACAAAACAGGAGCTTTTTTGTTGAGTTCCAGGGCCAGAGAAGCAGATGGCGGAAACAGAAGAACGGCCTGCCTCAGGGAAGGGTGCTTGCCCCATCCATGTTCAACATCTGACCAGCCACTGCCAGAAGGGACAGAGAGCTTCACCTATGCTGATGATCGTGCCATTACTGCTCAAGTAGGGAGCTTTGAGATGACTGAACAGAAGCTCTCCGAAGCTCTAGGTGCTCTTACTGCCTACTACAGGGAAAACCAGCTGGATCCCTAATCCATCTAAAACACAGACATTTGCTTTTCATCTTAAGAACAGACAAGCATCCCGAGTTCTGAGGATCACCTGGGAAGGAATTCCACTGGAGCATTGCAGCGCACCCAAATACCTGGGAGTCACTCTGGACCGTGCTCTGACCTACAAGGAGCACTGCCTGAATATCAAGCAAAAAAGTGGGTGCTAGAAACAATATCATACGAAAGCTTACTGGCACAACCTGGGGATCACAACCAGATACAGTGAAGACATCCGCCCTTGTGCTATGCTACTCTGCTGCTGAGTATGCATGCCCAGTGTGGAACACGTCTCACCATACTAAAACAGTGGATGTGGCTCTTAATGAGCCATGCCGCATTATCACGGGGTGTCTGCGCCCTACACCACTGGAGAAATTACACTGCTTAGCCGGTATTGCACCACCTGACATCTGCCGGGAAGTAGCAGCCAATAGTGAAAGGACCAAGGCAGAGACATCTCCAGCTCATCCCTTGTTTGGGCATCAGCCGCATGTCAATGACTTAAATTAAGAAATAGTTTTCTAAGATCTACAGACACTCGCTGGAACACCTCAGCAAGGAAGAGTCCAAAAGTGGCAGGCTCAAACCCAGAGCCTCCATCAATGGCTGATACCCAATGAGAGACTCCCCCCTGGGCACACAGAAAACTGGGCGACTTGGAAGGCGCTGAACAGACTGCGCTCTGACACCACGAGATGCAGAGCCAATCTTAAGAAATGGGGCGACAAAGTGGAATCCACAACATGCGAGTGTGGAGAAGAGCAAACTACAGACCACCTGCTGCAATGCAACCTGAGCCCTGCTACATGCACAATGGAGGACCTTCTTGCGGCAACACCGGAAGCACTCTAAGCGGCCAGATACTGATCAAAGGACATTTAATCAACTACCAAGCTTGCAAACTCTGTGTCTTTTGTATGTTTGTTTGTTTGTTCTGTCAAAAATGTAATACAACTGTTCGGTTGCCTGACACGATAAATAAATAAATAAAATTTATATAGATGCAATTGTGAACTATTTCGTTAGGGATGTATATGGCAAACTTCTTATTATTGCTAGCCTAAACATCTACATATACCCAGAGGCAATTGGACAGATTGAAAGCCTTACCTTGACAGAGAAGAGAACCAAAAGCTAATGCTTCAGCTGTGGCCCAGTCTAATTTTGCTCCTTCTTCCATTTTCAATATTCTTGACTACAAGTGCAAAACAAAATGATAATACACAAGCATCAGTTAAACCTACAAATGTGGAGGGATGATGGTAGTTTAATTGCTCAAAATTTGCCTAAGCCCATCCAGTATATTCATGAGGGAAGAAAGATTTGAACAGTCACAGGTATGTACTTTTAGTTGCTGTGGTACCATAATTTTTAGGGCTTGATAAAAAAGCCTCTCACCTGGGCATGCGTTTTCAGGATATGACTATGCAGCTCCAATTCCGCTGGCACTTCCACAGACTTTGCCCCAACAAACTGAAGGAGTGGGATCGCTATGCCTGTATCCCATCTTGTGATCTTTGCTGATGGCTCCACCATCTTACTCCAGTGTGCCTGAAGATTGCTTGATGGAGGGCTGTACAAAGTCATGTTGGCCAGATGTTCATTCAGTTTAGAGTAATAGGAAGTCTTTATCTCAGACACTTCTTCCTCTGTCATGAGTCCCTGGGTTACTAGGCATTCTGCGTACGTATCCGGAATACTCTTCCGGGACCTGTTAGAAGGAAGATGATTGTAAAATGCACAAACTTTCTCCTCCTTTGGGTTACTGGAAGGCTTTATATTTTGAGCTCCCTATAAGAAATGGTTTGGAAGCTTAATCATGATGATGATGATGATGATGATGATAATAATAATAATAATAATAATAATAATAATAATCTTTATTTATACCCTGCCACCATCTCCCCAACGGGGACTCGGAGCGGCTTACATGGGGCCAAGCCCCATGTTTGGACACTGTTTATGTTACTGCTTTTTTGGCTTTTTGCTTTTGGACTTTTATCAGCTTGATATTCATCTCTTTGATTGGCTCCAATTATTCTTCAAATAAAGATGACTCTTCTTTCATTCAAGGTGTGGTGTATTTAATGATTAGAGGGTCCTGTTCCTACTCTGGGGTGCAACAAGTAGTAGTATATTGTATTACATTATAATATTATCAATATTATATGTATACGTATATGATCTCACTAACATTCCTAGCGAATATACAGTGGAAGTGAAGAACAGATTTGAAGGACTAGATTTAGTAAACAGAGTCCCAGAAGAACTATGGACAGAAGTCCGCGACATTGTTCAGGAGAGGCAACAAAGTACGTTCCAAAGAAAAAGAAAACCAAGAAGGCAAAATGGTTGTCTGCTGAGACACTGGAAGTAGCCCAAGAAAGGAGGAAAGCAAAAGGAAACAGTGAAAAGGGGAGATATGCCCAGTTAAATGCGCAATTCCAGAGGTTAGCCAGAAGAAGATAAGGAACTATTTTTAAATAAGCAATGCATGGAAGTGGAGGAAGACAACAGAATAGGAAGGACAAGAGACCTCTTCCAGAAAATTAGAAACATTGGAGGTAAATTTCAGGCAAAAATTGGTATGATAAGAAACAAAGATGGCAGGGACCTAACAGAAGCTGAAGAGATCAAGAGAAGGTGGCGAGACTATACAGAAGATCTGTATAGGAAGGATAATAATATTGAGGATAGTTATGATGGTGTGGTGAATGAATTAGAACCAGACATCCTGAGGAGTGAGGTTGAATGGGCCTTAAGAAGCATTGCTAACAACAAGGCAGCAGGAGACGACGGGATCCCAGCTGAACTGTTTAAAATCTTAAAAGATGATGCTGTCAAGGTGATGCATGCCATATGCCAGCAAATATGGAAAACACAAGAATGGCCATCAGACTGGAAAAAATCAACTTATATCCCCATACCAAAAAAGGGAAATGCGAAAGACTGCTCAAACTTCCGTACAGTGGCCCTTATTTCTCATGCCAGTAAGGTAATGCTCAAGATCCTGCAAGGAAGACTCCAGCAATACATGGAGCGAGAGTTGCCAGATGTTCAAGTTGGGTTTAGAAAAGGTAGAGGAACGAGAGACCAAATTGCCAATATCCGCTGGATAATGGAGAAAGGCAGGGAGTTTCAGAAAAACATCTACTTCTGCTTCATTGACTATTCTAAAGCCTTTGACTGTGTGGATCATAATAAATTGTGGCAAGTTCTTAGTGGGATGGGCATCCCAAGCCACCTGGTCTCTCTCCTGAGGAATCTGTACAAGGACCAAGTAGCAACAGTCAGAACTGACCACGGAACAACAGACTGGTTCAAGATTGGGAAAGGCGTACGGCAAGGCTGCATACTCTCACCCAACCTTTTAACTTGTATGCAGAACACATCATGCGAGGATGTGCGGGGCTGGATGAATGCAAGGCTGGGGTGAAAATTGCTGGAAGAAACATTAACAACCTCAGATATGCAGATGACACCACTCTGATGGCCGAAAGCGAGGAGGAGCTGAGGAGCCTTCTAATCAAGGTGAAAGAAGAAAGCGCAAAAGCTGGGTTGCAGCTAAACGTCAAAAAAACCAAGATTATGGCAACAAGAATGATTGACAACTGGAAAATAGAGGGAGAAACCGTGGAGGCCGTGACAGACTTTGTATTTCTAGGTGCAAAGATTACTGCAGATGCAGACTTTAGCCAGGAAATCAGAAGACGCTTACTTCTTGGGAGGAGAGCAATGTCCAGTCTCGATAAAATAGTGAAGAGTAGAGACATCAGACTGGCAACAAAGATCCGCCTAGTCAAAGCCATGGTATTCCCTGTAGTAACCTACGGATGTGAGAGCTGGACCTTAGGGAAGGCTGAGCGAAGGAAGATCGATGTTTTTGAGCTGTGGTGTTGGAGGAAAGTTCTGAGAGTGCCTTGGACTGCGAGAAGATCCAACCAGTCCATCCTCCAGGAAATAAAGCCCGACTGCTCACTGGAGGGAAGATACTAGAGAAAAAGTTGAAGTACTTTGGCCACATCATGAGGAGACAGGAAAGCCTAGAGAAGACAATTATGCTGGGGAAAGTGGAAGGCAAAAGGAAGAGGGGCCGACCAAGGGCAAGATGGATGGATGGCATCCTTGAAGTGACTGGACTGACCTTGAGGAGCTGGGGGTGGTAACGGCCGACAGGGAGCTCTGGCGTAGGCTGGTCCATGAGGTCACGAAGAGTCGGAGACGACTGAACGAATGAACAACAACAACGTATATAATATTATTGTGTATTCTCCTATTCATACTAGCTGTGGCAAATCTGGTAACTGGCATTGGGGAGCATGGGGAACCCAGTGACCCACACCCCGCATTATCCAGCTTACCCACAGGGTGAGCCCATGGGGGAAGCACTGACTGTCTGACTTCCCCCCATTACTCAAGGCAACACGGGAAGCTTCCTTTGTTATCGCCGTGGCAGCATGCTTCACTTCGCCACCCCTTTAAACACAGAGCCCTACCGAAAGTAGTAGCACGTTGTGTAATGGGAGATGGTGGGATCTGTGATTAAAGGGGCAGCGAAATGAAGCATGAAGGTCATTAGAAGGCTTAAGCAAAACTCTGCTTACAAGTATGACATTTGTGTAAATAACTGCACAGACATCTTGCAACAGTAATTTTTGTTACAGAATTAACTCTTCAGAATTACCTGCCCAGTGAACTCAGCTGAGTTCCTTTTTTATAGGTGTTCAATAATAATAATAATAACAGTAATTTTTGTTACAGAATTAACTCTTCAGAATTACCTGCCCAGTGAACTCAGCTTTCTTTTTTTATAGGTGTTCAATAATAATAATAATAATAATAATAATAATAATAATAATAATAATAATTGTTATTAGTATTATTATTTCTTACCTGCCTCTCCTCATGGCTCGAGGCGAGTTACAGAATAATTGAAACACGCAAACATTGTAAAAGTACAACAAATCCACACATTAAAATGTATTTCACTTGACAGTCAGAACAACCGGCTTTTTACAGCTAACTCAGGAAAATTTACCTTTTGCTTTTTAAAAACACTACTTGGGAAAGGGGTTCTATCACAGTGTTTTGAAAATGTATGATGAAAGGCGGCTACAATCCAAATGGGTGCATTTTCTGTTCTCTGTTGCACTGCTAAGACATACCTGATGATTTTATACATGGTTGGATTGGTGAAGAATGGCTCATCTAACTCATTGTGACCCCACTGGCGATAGCACAACAAATCCACAATAACATCCTTACGGAAATGGCGCTGGTATTCAACGGCCAATCGTGCAGCCCGGATCACTTCTTCAGGGTCATCCCCATTCACATGAATAACTGCGCAGCCAACAATCTTGCCTGAATGTGAGGTGGAGGTGGAAAACAGATCAAGTCAACATGTTACTAACTCAGCCGCTTTCTCCTACTTGATACCTTCCAGGCATAAGGAATACAGTGTCACCACTTTAACCACTATGCTGTCTGTAAGCCTATGGGAGAAGTAGTCCCAAACATCAAGAGGGAAACGGTTTTGGAAAGGCAAAATTAATTACCACCTTATCACACTATAGTATCTACCTACCTACCTACCTACCTATATAAAAATGCTCTGTGCATGATGATTATTTTATTTATTTATTTATTTAGAAGTTTTATATACCGGTCTTCTCAACCTCAGAAGAGGGACTCAGGCCAGTTTACAACATGTATTCATATACAGTAATATAAAACAGTACAGTGCAACATCATTATACATTAAAACATAAAATACAGTAAAATACATCATCACATTACACAAGCCAAGTCGTCAAATGCAGTCACAGTTCATCGCCATCCTTCCGTGTGGACAAGGGTTATTGACTCAATCATCAAATGCCATATTCCAAAGCCAGTTTTTATTAGCTTTCTAAAAGTCAGGAGGGAGGGAGCAGATCTAATCTCTAGTGGGAGGGAATTCAAAAAAGGAAGAAGACGACAACCCCCCCCCCACGCTGAGGACACAGAATGAGGGTTCCGAAGCAGCAGCAGTGGCAATGGTTGCTGCTCCCTGCATGTCTCTGACCCCTAACTAACACTAAGGCAAGGGATCAAAGGGCAGAGGTTGAGGAGAAGGAGGAGGGGGAAGAGAGAGGGGGGGAAGGACACACACACACACACACACACTCCCACAGCACAAGGAAAGGAGGAAGGTGCCATGATGTGGATAATAGGGACTCACGAAACTAACATTGCTTGGAAAGGAGCCCCAAAGACCATCCAGCCCAACCTCATTTGGCAATAAAGGAAGACCCAATCAAATGGCCAACCAGTTGGAGGGGAGCCCAAAAGGCCATCCAGTCCAATCCCCTCCTTCCCTCCCTCGCTCCCTTTCTCTACTTCCCTTCCTTCTCCTTCCCTCCCTTCCCTTCCTCCCTTTATTTCCTTCCTTTTTTGCCTCCCCTCACCAGCTTCATCCTCCTTTATTAAATATACAGTGTAGATGCACCCAAAGTCAATCCTTCCACACTGCCATGTGAAATCCAGATTATCTACTTAGGACTGGATTATATGGCAGTGTAGACACATGTACACACACACACACACACACACACACACATATGGATGGATGTTGGATCACTGGTTGGTGAGATACATATATATATACACACACATACATTACTTTATATATTACTATTATATATATTGCTATAATTATTGTTATATATACTACTATATAATATAATGTTACTACTATATATTACTATATTAAATAGACTCATAGAATAGACGTATTGAGCGGGAACAGACAGGAAGGAAGGAGAGAAGAAAGGAGGGAGGGAAAGAAGGAAGGAAGGAGGGAAGGAAAGAGGGAAGGAAGGAGAGAAGGAAGGAAAGAAAGAGGTACCGAAGGAAGGAAGAAGAGAAAGTAGAAAGAAAAATGGAGGGAAATGTAGGAAAGAGGTAAAGAAGGAAGGAAGGAGAAAAGGAAATAAAAAGTGAAAGAAGGAAGGAAACAGGGAGGGAAGAAATGAGACAAAGGAAGAAGTAGAGAAAGGGGGAGGGGAGGAAGGAAAGAGAGAAGAAAGAATAAAACCAAAGAGTGAAAGAAGGAATGAAAGAAAGAGGCAGAGAAGGAAGAAAGGAGAGAAAGGGGAAAGGGAAGGAGAAGGGGAAGAAAAAAAGGGGGAAGGAATAGGTAGGTACCTCTCTTTCATAATAGCCCAGATATCTACCTTACTTCGAAAATTCTTAATATAGGCCACAGCTGCGCGTGGCAGGGCACAGCTAGTCCATTATAAATCCTGTGGTTGCCTCCTGAAGAATTCAGAGGTTTATCGTTTAGGGAGGGAGTTTTAACCTGTCCAGTCAAAGAGATCCTGGATCTCACTAAATTACAAACCCCAGTATTCTGCAAGAGGCAGCCACAGGATTTAAATTGGATAGATACTTCAGTGTGAGTGAAATGCATCTCATGTCACAAGCAACATAGGCTTTGGGAGGCAAGATAGCGCTGTTTTAGTTTTCTAGCTAAGGCCCCTTCTATACTTTCATATAATCTAGATTATCAAAACAGATAATCCATATTATCTGCCTTGAATTGGATTATATGAGTCTAAAATGCCATATAATCCAGTTCAAAGCAGATAATCTGGATTTTATATGGCAGTGTAGAAGGGGCCTGAGAATGTAATAACCAGAAACTTGTTAATTACTCAGATAGCTTTGTTCATCTTGCAGGGCTACATGTTAATAGTAGGCCTGGGTAACAACGGAAAAATTTGTTTCTAAAATCGATTTGTATTTGGGGGTTTTTTTTGTTTAGATATTTAAAATAATTACAAAATTTTCCTTTTAAAAAGTTCGATATTTATGAAATTTCGTAAATGGTAAAAAATTAACGAATCGATTTCCGAAACAATAACGAATCGATTCGTTAATGGCGGACGCGACCGCGAAATACGCTAAAAAACCTCCAAAACCTTCTGAAGCTTCCCTCTCCCTCTGTTGTTGACTGTTGGTGTGATATTATAATTTTTTTTCACTAATTAAACATAAAACTGGCCCAGACATGCGGAAATAATAACGAAACGACCTCAAAACAATAACGAAACGAATACAATATCGAAATACGAAGCATTTACAAAACGTTTTTGAAAATTCGTTTTTTAATAATTGCTCCAGAATGGTTCGTTATCGTTTTGTAATTGAAAAAATTAACGAATTATTAACGAATTACGAATTAACGAAACGAAACCGCCCAGCCCTAGTTAATAGGTCTGGATTATAATTAAATCACATAATTTCAAGCAGACTCCATATTTATATTCAAACATGCGAATTTTATAGGCATTTCAGATGCCTCTCCGTTGCTACTGGTCTGGTCTTCACCAATCACCTAATATTCGGCAATAAGCTCAAATACGACCATGTTAAATTCAGGCTATTGTCCCTGCAATATTTATTTTCAGAACAGTCATAAAATACTTACATTCTAGCTCCTTCTAAACATATACCAATTCACTCCAGAACCCTCTGATACATACCAATATCACTACAGTATAAAGAGGATCTTCCTCGCTCTGCCGGAGTGGTGTAGCCCAGCTGATTGTTGACAATGAGATGAATACTTCCTCCAACTCTAAAGTGTGGCAAATTGGAAATTGTAAATGTTTCAGGAACAATGCCTTGACCAGAGAAAGAAGCATCACCATGAACCTATAACGGAAAAAGCAGGTAGACACTTTCTGATGGTAATTGATGCCAGTTCTTTGGAAAGACTTGCCCCTTATTTGTAAGAGCATTGAAGTGTGTACTTAGAAAACATAGGACAGAATAGGAAAATGCTACTATATAATTATCTACTTTGTCTTGTTCTTAACTTAAAACAATGGATAACATTTGCATCATGGAATCACTGGTAGCTTATCTGAGATGGAAATCAGAGCTAGAGTTTCACAATAGATCAATGTCCAGCTTCTACTTCAAAAACATGTATGACCTTAATTCTATTCTTGTCAACCTGGGTACTGCTAGACTACAAATGAAAATTATTTAAAATGTAATTTCCTATTAAAACAATATTATTCATTCGATGAAACAAATGCCCTGCAAAGCAAGTGTTCTGAACTTCATCTCTTTAGCCCATGTTCTTAGTCCAAAGAAGTTGGCTTATATTACATAAGCTAGCATTGTCCTTTTGTTTAAAGTTTGGAAAGAATTCTTCTCAGTCCCTCCACATACTTGCAGGCAGATGACTTTGTCTCCAGGCTGTGCAGAACTTTCTGGAGAATAATCCCCATCCAGCAAAGATTGTTGCCTTCCCCTTGTTTTGCCAACTGCCACTGGATTAATGGCTTCTAGATGAGAAGGATTTGGCAACAAGATGACATGAATAGGGCGGTGAGATCCGAAATCCAGATCTACTGAAGCGGTTAGGTGGGATAAGACATCTCCAATGGCTGGCGAAGGCTCTGGGAATTCACTCAAGCCTCGCATTTTACGAAACATTAGCTTTGTAGAATATGAAAATGAAAGAAACATCAGTGTATTTGCAGGCTATGTTGGTGCAGACAAATACAAGTTCTCTATTATGGGAATTCCCAACCTCCCCCCTCATTAGAGATATGAATCAAATAATCCCACACAGTTCTTCACTACTCTGTCTCTTACGAGTTTATCCCTTACAAACATTTCCTTTTCATTTTCTCATCCAGAGTTTTATCATTTTATGTTGTACATGTGGCCCGCTCACTGTGATTGATTTTTCATTGCATTATTTTGTTTTGTTTTATTTTATTATATTCCTATGCTTTATCTATTTCATTGTGATGTTAGTTCTGTTGTTTTGGGTTTATTTTGTTGTATTCTGTTGTAATTTATTTCTGGACTTGGCCTCATGTAAGCCGCCCTGAGTCCCCTTCGGGGAGATGGTGGCAGGGTATAAATAATTATTATTATTTTACTGACACAAAAGCACAGTATGTCACAGCAAACAGGATCTATATGCTGGATTTCGTATCACTAAATCACAAGTCGAACATTTTCCAAGCGTCTAGGACTGTGTGATGTATTTTCGAATGATGTGCGCAGATCCAAGTAAGGTGGCTTTTTGCAGTTGACAGATCGTGATTTTGTCGATGTTTATTATTAAATCCCAGAACCAGTTTATGTTCATTCTTAATTTCCCCACAATGGTCATACAACTTGCCACCTATACTATAACACCAATTAGTCCTTGGGCAACTCCTCTAGACTATATTCAAAATGCTTCTGTTCTACGAGGGATGTGGCATGTGAAAGTAATACTTAGCACACACAAATTGGCCTAATAGTATAAACACTTAACATATCTATATTCCTTACTTCTTTTAGGAATTCAGAGCAGCATGTATGAGCTATAGTGTTTCACATCCATAACAACCCATTCATGTACTTTAGTAGCCCAATGACAAATTTAACACCAGTCTATTCCAACGGCTTGATAGCTCTGCCCTTACTAACTCTGTCCAACATGGAGGGGCAAATCTGCTAGCTTTGCTTTCTCCCACAATTACATTTTGTACAATTTGGTAAGCTTTGATCAAATTGAAATGGAGTCCTCACTTATTCCTTGTTTCCAATGTAGTTCCTATGAGCACCATGTATATACTGGGGTAGCAAAGCAGTTCACTAAACTGAGACCTCTTCTATACTGTCCTTGTATCACAGAATCCCCAGGTTATGAGGGAGTGAGTCTTCTCCGCTGTGGCCCCCCGGCTCTGGAACTCGTTACCTGGTGAGATTAGGCAAGTCCCTACCCTAGCAGTCTTTAAGAAGCAGTCTAAAAACTTGGCTTTTCCAACGTGCCTTCAGAGACCGACCATTCAACCCATTTGTTTGTTTCCATCTACAGCTGTCCTTATGATACACCATCCCCTGTCCTTAATAAAGGTCTAACCCCACTACTCCTCCATTTTGGGCTCCTCCCTTACACATTTATTTATTTATTTACTGTGCTTATAGACCGCTGTTCTCAGCCCAGGGGCGACTCACAGCGGTGTACAACATGGAGAGAATAAGGTGCTAATTACAAAACATAATCTAACAACAACCTAGCAATATCAATATAAATATCATTTTATTCCTATCTCACCCAAGGTTTTAATGTTTTAACATTTTATCTCGTGCATCTGGCCCGCCCTGTGTGTTTATTTTGCACTGTTTAATTTATTTTGTTTATTTTATATATTTTGTTGTGAAGTATTTTGTGTTGTTTTGTGACTAGTTACGTTGTATTATTTTTTGGGCTTGGCCTCATGTTAGTCACCCTGAGTCCCCTTTGGGGAGATGGTGGCAGGTTATAAATAAAGATTATTATTATTATTATTATTATTATTATTATTATTATTATTATTATTTTGTTGTTGTTGTTGTTGTTGTTGTTGTTGTTGTTGTTGTTGTTGGCATCGAATTGCTGCCGTTGTAAGCTGCCCTGAGCCTCTCTTTGGGGGTTGAGAAGGACGAGGTAGAAATGTTGGAAATAAATAAATAAATTATATGACAGTGTAGATCCAGTTCCCATATTGAGGTGCAACTGATATGCAAAAGCCTATCCAATACCTTTTGCCGACAAGTTATATTTCAACTACATGATGGTTGGTCCCTTTATAAAAGCACATTTGCATTTCTGTTTCATGTTTATTGGTGTTCATAGAAAACATGAACAGCTGTTTACTGACAGCTGTTTGACATTCCAAAATACAAAACGTTCTGGCTGAAGCGTAGCGATTTCACATATAAGTTAAGCAATATGTTGTCAAAGACTTTCATGGCCAGAATCACTGGGTTGCTCTGAGTTTTTCTGGCTGTATGGCAATATTCCAGAAGCATTCTTTTCTAAGTCATTTTTGTTGACCTGTCGTAGTTAATGTCCAGAGTTAATGACTACCTCCTTAGAGATTGAAAAATTGAGGCTTGAAATGGAACTTAGAAAGATGCAGCTGGAGGCTGAGAGAGAAAGGGAAAAAATGGAGTTTGAAACTAGAGAAAGAGAAAGGCAGCTTGAGGCTAAGAGAGAAAGGGAAAGAATGGAGTTTGAAGCTAGAGAAAGAGAGAAAGAACGACAACTAGAGTTTGAAAGAGAGAGAATGAAACATGAAGAAAGGATGTTGGAGTTAAAAGTGCGAGAAAGGCAACCCACATCCAACCCTGATGAAATCCAACCTGAACCCTTAGCTTCCCAGATAAAGCATTTTCCCAAGTATGCGAGGGGAGATAGCATAGAGAGTTTTTTCGCCAGTTTTGAGCGAGCTTGTGGAGACTTTAATGTGCCTGAAGAAAGGAGAATGGCGCATATAAGACCACTGATCTGTGGGGAACTGAGCGAAGTTTATGCGCAGTTGAGGGATGGGGAATGGTCCAACTACGCTATATTTGAAGAGAGAGTGAAGGTGTGGTTTGGTTTGACCCCAGAACAAAGCCGAAAGACCTTCAGAGATATTAAAAGGAAGCCTGGAGAAATGTATTCTCAGGTTGGGGCAAGAATAGAAAAGGCTCTACTAAGATGGCTGGAGGGGAGTAAACTGACTACCTTTGAGGGATTGAGGCACTTAATCTGTCTAGAACAGTTCTATAGACTGGTTCCCTGCACAGATGAGGTGGTTTATTAAAGATAAAAAGATTTAGACCGTGGCAGAATGTGCTTCAGTTTTGGACGAGATGGAGGGAGACCTTGAGATGGGTTCCCCATTGTTCAAGAAGCAAAAGGAGTGGGTCCCAAAGGGCAAAGCTGACAGGGATGGTCAGGGTGCCAAGAAAGGGGACGCCAACTCTAAGTCTGCGCCACGTAGAATCGTGTGTTACCTCTGCAATCAGGAGGGAAATATGAGAGCCTCATGCTCAAAGCTATCAAAAGAGAGACCTGTGAGCCCACCAAAATATATAAAGGTGGTCAAAAAGACTCAACCACAACAAGAAGAGCCTGCTCCTGAGGAAGAGCCCATTAAGATAATGAGGATATGGAGTATGGACCGTGGTGTGAGCAGGGATTACTTGGAAGAGGTCCAAGTAAATGAAGAAACGCTTATGGGACTTAGGGATTCAGGCGCTGAAGTGTCTTTGGTGTGCCCTCAGTTAGTAAAGAAAGATCAATTAGTGCCTGGACAGAGGTGGAGATTGAAAGGCATAACCGGTTCCAGCTTTGAAGTTGAAATAGCCAAGATCCCAGTCCAGTATAAGACTTTCTGTGGCAAATGGAAGGTTGGAGTTTTGCCAGACCTAGAGATCCCTATTTTAATTGGGAACGATCTCTCAGAGCATAACCTGAGAGTTAATGCGAGATTAAAAAGGCAGTAAACTCTGAGGGGAGAGAGTTCACCTCAGAGATGGCTTGTAGCTCAGATAGTAACAACATGGAGGAGTTCCCTATAATGTTACAATCCAGTCAGCCAGCTGAGTTCTTGAGAGAACAGCAACAAGCTGAGGATTTAAAGACCCTGTGGGAATTGGTTGAAGCTCAGGAAGCCAGGCCCACAGAAGCAAAGCTATTATCTATAAAACTATAGATAATAAACTGTTTAGGATGGTCAGGTGTCAAAAAGGCCCAGGCCTGTATGAGGAAACTACGCAGTTGGTAGTGCCTCCAAAATACAGGGAGAAGATCCTGAAAATGGCCCACGACATTCCTTATAGCGGGCATTTGGGTGTCAAGAAGACCAGAGATAGAGTGCAGAACCGTTTCTTTTGGCCATGTATGGGACAGGACATTATCACCTACTGCAGGTCCTGCCAATCATGTCAATTTGCTGGCAAGGCCAAAGGCAAAACAAGGGGGTTACTGCAGCCTATCCCAGTTGTGTCTATTCCTTTCGAGAAAGTGGGGATCGATATTCTTGGCCCGATGTCACCTGTGACCAAGGATGGGCCTATATCCTCACAACGGTGGACTTCGTGACCAGATATCCTGAAGCAACTCCCCTGAAGGAAATTGACACCAAGACTGTGACACATGCACTCCTGACGTTGTTCGCGCATGTGGGGTTTCCAAAGTCTATCGTTACAGATTTGGGAACATCTTTCATGTCGCTGTTAATGAAAGAGATGCTGCGTTCCTGTGGAATTTGACATATGACAACGACACCATATCATCCACAGTCAAATGGCCTGACAGAGAGATTCAATGCGACGCTGAATCATATGCTGAAGACCTATGTACATCGGAACCCCAATGATTGGGACAGAAAAATTCAGCATTTCCTGTTTGCCTATCGTGAGATGCCACAAGAGAGTACCGGATACAGCCCATTCCAGCTGCTGTATGGCTGAACCCTGCGTGGACCGTTAGACATCATGAGAGAGGCGTGGATCGGAAGGGAAGAGATTCCGGAGAAGGACGTTGTCGAATATATTGAAGGTCTACAGAGACATTTAGCTGTTATCCGTGACTGTGCAGCTGGGAGCTTGACAGCGGCTCAGAGTCGTCAAGAGGACTATGTGGACTTGAAAGCTAGGCACAGATCTTTTGCCGTAGGGGACAAGGTATTGGTGTTAAAACCCAGAGCCAAGAAGAAGCTTGAGGTGGCTTGGGAAGGACCATTTACCATTGTCACCAAGGACTCTGAAGTGACTTACGTTGTTGCAGACGACAACGAAGAAAGAAGATATAAAAAGCTGCATGTAAATAGACTGAAACCTTATTTTCCTAGAACCAATGTGGTGGTAAAACTTTCTCCAGAGACTGAGGGAAATGTTGCTCTCTCTGAATGGGGAAAGTGAGTTCAGATTGTACACTGCCATTTTTGGAGGGAAACGTAAAACTGTGTATTACCGAAAAGAGATAGCAGGGGGAGCTGGTGCGTAGAGTTAAAAAAGTGTTGTCTAGCAATAGCACTGTCTCAGCTTCGCCCCAGGGAGAAACAGCGGAAGGTGGAAGTGTGGGGTACGTGATAGCCTGTGGTAAGGACAATTTAAAAATCAGAGGGAGGATTTGTGGCGTTGGGTAGAGAGATAGAGTTCAGCCCTTTATACTTTGCCATGCTCAGATTGTTCCCAGTTGCATTTGAGTGTGTCAGTTAACCAGCACAAACCCCAAGGTAATATAGTAAAGTTATGCCAGATGCATCTTCTAAAATGGTATCTTGATTGTGCAGGTAATATTAATGGTTATTTGTATAGAGTATTATTTATAAGATAATGTATTGTGTTTAACATGTTTTCTCTTGCAGGATTCTATAAATGTACTGTATGTATTGTTTGCATTGCAGGATTGCATATATGGATTACATAGAGTTGATGTAATAATTGCAATTGATGTCTGATGTTTATGCAATGTATTGGTGTATAATGCATAGGTATGTTGGGTATGTTGCTTCTTGGCAGGGGGTTGGACTGGATGGCCCATGAGGTCTCTTCCAACTCTTTGATTCTATGATTCTATGATCTGCAAGTTAGAAATGTTTAGTGAATGTAATGCATAGGTATGTGTAGAAATATGAAGGGTAGCTTAGCTTAGTCAGTATGTTAGTGTAGAAATGCTTAGGGAAGGTAGGATAGAAATGTATTTATATGCCTTAGGATAGATTAGATTAATAGTTATGTGCATAGGAAAGGAGGTGATTTAAGTTAAATATCTTAATAGAGACCTCATTTTCTTGCAAACATAGATTAGAAATCTACATTTATCCAGAAAATATTCTTAAGGCAGGGAGGTATTGTAATGAACTCATACCTTTGCTTCGTAGGCCGCAGCCTGGAAATCAGTGAACTGGCCTCCATGTTGGGAAGGCAGCTCAGGATGGCTGACATGATGGTAAAGGTAGAGAGGCAAGGGGAGGAGTCAGCTAACTCCTGATTGGTTCAGACCCCAAGGGGAGGAGTTGAAGGAGAGTGTAAATAGGCTGTCATTTCTGACAGAAAAGAGAGAGAAGGATTTGATCTGAGAGAGAAGGATTTGATCTAGCAGAGAAAGGATTAGGATTCAGACAGGGAGAAGAGTGTTTCTTAGTGAGCTAGGAACTAGACTGTTAGGGAATAATTAAAGAGCAAGTGCTTCTGTGTAGTTTGACTAGGGCAGTCAAAGTGAAGGCTTGTTTACTTATATTAGGACAGAATACAAGTGGGTTTATTTCCCTACAGTGCAGAGTAGTCCAGGGGAAACCTAGATACTCTGGAAGGCAGCCAGAGGTGGCTGGTCAAAGAAATGCACTGTTACATGTTACAGGATAGTGTGAGGAAAGTAGCTCACATTAAGGAAAAGTTACTCCTTCTAAAGAAACCAATTACTTAATAAGTCCGTGCTTCTGAAACAAACTACACATATGTACCTCTCAGTAGTCAGTTGTTTGCTTGAAATGCTTCAATAAACCTGTTCCCTAGTTTACTGTTAATCTGCCTCAGCCTTGTTTCATCATATAAGTTAGATCTAGTAAGCCTCCACATCTCCACAGTTCAGTTACCAGAAAGGGAGCCAAAAGGAAGAACCGGTGTATAGGGACATTTTTCGTCAAGTACATCAACAAGACAATTCCTCAAACTGTAATTTGGGGTGGTGGCAGCAAACCTACCATTACATACACACCGTTCTCTCTCATCACCTGTAATTCCCTCGTATATTCTTTTACAGTAGTGGCAGTGGTGGGATTGAAAAGAAAGGTTCCCCCCGTCACATGCGATAAGAGACCCTTATCTGCCTTTACACACTTTATTAGAGATCTAAGATTGTCTGCACACCGCACCTACCTCTAAAAACCTATACATTTCACCTGTCATGTCCAGCACTTTTTAAATTTTATTCATTACATTTGGCCCGGCTTTAGTTTTAAATGCGTCGTGGTGTTATTGTTCTAATGTTTATTGTTATTGCTTTAATGTTTATTGTTTTGCTTTATGAGTTTTATTGTTTTATTTGTTATGCTGTTGTTTTATTGAGGGCCTTGGCCTTTTGTAAGCCGCACCGAGTCCTTCGGGAGATGTTAGCGGGGTATAAATAAAGTTAATAATAAAATAATTAATAATAATACGAACAAATTACAATAGAGTAAAACTGAAAACATTGTTGCATTTCCAAATCAAATTTAGTCACACTTGAAAGGAAAATCTGCTTCTTACCTCAGGTGGAAACTGGAGAAGGCCTGTGAGGAGGTTAAGTCTGCCCCGATGAGGCATTCCAAGAACAATGTTTGTCACCCCACTATATGAGCACATCTTTAACAATTCATGAAAGAAACCCATCATACTCTCTGCTCCTTCGCCACCATACCTTTTCACAGTGGCAAACTTTGTGGCCAAAAAATGATCAAATTCCTGCAAAATATGGAACATGATTTTATATACATGCATGTATCAGTGGTCATGAGTATGTCCACATTGTCCCATAGCTACATATGACATTTCTCTAGTACAGTTTGTTCAAAATTTCGGTGCCTGGGTTGGGCAATCCCTGCTCTAAAGGGAGTGTGGGGGTATTTTCTGGGCACCACAATTGAAGAGAGACATTGAGAAGCTGGAATGTGTCCAGAAGAGGGCGACTAAAATGATCAAGGGTCTGGAGAACAAGCCCTATGAGGAGCGGCTTAAGAAGCTGGGCATGTTTAGCCTGAAGAAGAGAAGGCCGAGAGGAGATATGATAGCCATGTATAAATATGTGAGAGGAAGTCACAGGGAGGAGGGAGCAAGCTTGTTTATTGCTTCCCTGGAGACTAGGACACAGAACAATGGCTTCAAACTACAAGAAAGGAGATTCCATCTGAATATGAGGAAGAACTTCCTGACTGTGAGAGTCATTCAGCATTGGAACTCTCTGTATAATTATATCATACTAGCTGTACCCTGCCATGTGTTGCTGTGGCCTATAGTAAGAATTTTCAAAGTAAAGGTAGATATCTGGACTATTATGAAAGAGAGGTACCTACCTATTCCTTTTCCCCTTTTTCTTCCCCTTCTCCTTTCTCTCCTTTCTTCCTTCTCTACCTCTTTCTTTCATTCCTTCTTTAACCCTTTGGTTTCATCCTTCCTTCTCTCTTTCTTTCCTTCCCTCCCCCTTTCTCTACTTCTTCCTTTGTCTCAATTCTTCCTTCCCTGTTTTCTTTCAATTTTATTTCCTTTTCTCCTTGCTTCTTTACCTCTTTCTTGCCTTTCCTTTCATTTTTACTTTAGCTTCTCCCTTCCTTCCTTCTGTACCTCTTTCTTTCCTTCCTTCTTTCCTTCCTTCCTTCCTTCTTTCCCTCCCTCCTTCTCTCCTTCTTTCCTGTCTGTTCTCCCCCAATACCATGGTAGAGTCCCTTCTAACTCTATTCTATGAGTCTATTTAATATAGTAATATATAATAGTAACATATTATATAGTAATACATATAACAATAATATATATATAATATAATATTTATTTATGTACTAGCTGTGCCCTGCCACGCGTTGCTGTGGCCTATAGTAAAACTTATCAAAGTTGAGGTAGATATCTGGACTATTATGAAAGAGAGGTCCCTACCTATTCCTTCCCCCTTTTCCCTCCCCCTTTCTCTCCTTTCTTCCTTCTCTACCTCTTTCTTTCTTTCCTTCTTTCACTACTTGGTTTCATCCTTCTCTCTTTCCTTCATTCCCTCCCCCTTTCTTCCTTTGCCTTTCTTCCCTCCCTGTTTGCTTCCTTCTTTCACTTTTTATTTCCTTTTATTTCACCACCATCATAACAATAACAATAATGCAATGCATTGCCTCTGGGACCTGACACCTCTCCCATTCCCCCTAAAAGGGTCTCATAGGAACAATAGCATAATAATAATAATAGAAATAACAACCTTTACCCGCCACGTGTTGCTGTGGCCAATCTTCCCTCTTTCTCTCCTTCTTTCCCTCCTTCCTTCCTTCCTTTCCCTCCCATCTTTCCTTCTCCTCTTCTTTCTCTATCTCTTTCCTTCCTTCCCCCTTTTTCTTTCTCTTCTGCTGTCTCTCTTTCTTTCCTTCCATCTTTCCTTTTCTTTCCTTTTCTTCTTCCTCTAACTTTCCTTCCTTCCCCCTTTTTCTTTACCTCCCTTTCTCTTTCTTCCTTCTTTCCTTCCTTCCTGTCTTTCCTGGATTTTGACAGGGCGGGAAGGGGCGGGGTGGGGTTTGGAGGTGGCGTGAAGTAAAAGGAGGTAAGATTGGGGCAGGGGAGTGATGGAGCGTGGGGTTGCGTGTGTGTGTGCGGCGGCGGGGGGAGTGATGGAGCGTGGGGTTGCGTGTGTGTGCGGCGGCGGGGGGAGGTGGGGTTGCGTGTGTGTGCGGCGGTGGGGGGGGGTGATGGAGCGTGGGGTTGTGTGTGTGCGTGCGGCAGGGGGGGTGTGTGTGCGGGAAGCGGCGCGGCGGGGCTTGGAGTGGGCATGGTTTCCGCAGAGGGAACGTTGGCCGGAAGGCCATGTGCGCGCGCCAGGGAACTTGCGGCTGGGCGCCAATGCGCATGCTCAGTTGTTTTGCCGTTTTGTGAGTGTGTTGTTGTGTTGTTTTTCATTTTGAGTAGATATGTTTGTACCTTGTGGGTTGTGTTATGGGCATGGGAATTTATATATATAGATTATATAGCAGTATATATAATAGTAATATATATAGTATTGTAATTATATATATGTATATATGTATATATAGATAGAAAGACAAATATAGATATATATCACCAACCAGTGATCCTACATCCATCCATATCTGTGTGTGTGTGTGTCTACACTGCCATATAATCCAGTCCTAAGTAGATAATCTGGATTTTACATGGCAGTGTGGAAGGGGTGCATCTACACTGTAGATTTAATAAAGGAGGATGAAGCTGGTGGGCGGGGGGAGAAAAAGGAAGGAAATAAAGGGAGGAAGGGAGGGAAGGAAAGAAAGGGAGGAAGGAGGAAGGAGCAAGGGAGGGAGGAAGGAGGGAAGGAAGGGAAGGGAAAGAATTAAAGGAAGGAGAAGGAAGGGAAGTACAGAAAGGAAGGAAAGGGTGGAGGGAGGGAAGGAGGAGTTGGGGTGGATGAGAGAATGAGGAGGAGGAGGAGGAGAAATTGTTCATCCGGAGAGCACTGTGAACCCAAAGATGGATCGGGACCAAACTTGGGATGAATCCTCAGTATGCCCAAAGGTGAATTCTGGTGGAAATTGGGGGAAATTGACCTTGGGAGCTGCTTGGATGTCCGGCTCACCTGGAATCAATGAGGAGCCTGAACTGGGCTCACCCCTTCCTTCCTTCCTTCCTTCCTTCCTTCCTTCCTTCCTTCCTTCCTTCCTTCCTTCCTTCCTCCCCGGCACACTCTGCTTCATTAGGGGTGGGGCTTACTGGAGCCCCTTGATGGCGGCACCCAAGGGGAGAGCTGAAGACGGAGGAAGAAGGGAAGGAGGAATGATAGAAGGGAGGGAGGAAAGGAAAGAGGAAAGAGAGAAGGAAAGAGGGGAAGGATGAGGGAAAGAGGGAGGGAGGAGAGGAGGCAGGGAAGGCATGAACGGAGGAAATGGGGGAAGAGAGAAGGGAGGGAGAGAAGGATGAGGGAGAGAGTAAGAAGGAATAGGAGGCAGGAAGGGGGAGGGAAGGGAAAGAGTTTGAGCTACAATTTGAATGGCAGAGCATTCAAATGGAAGTTCCTTTCCTTTGCCTTCCCTTCCCTTCCTTGTTGCTGCTAAATCGGACCTCCTTCTCCTCCTCCTTTTTCTCCCCCGGCATACTGATCTCCAATCTCTACTCCTGAGGGAGGAGGGAGAAGGAGGAAGAAGAGGCCCCTCTCCCTCCAGCTCCCTTGGTCAGGTGAATGCCTTCCCTGTGCAGAAAGGCAAGGAGCCAAGGCTGACTCCAGGCCGTTGCTGGCACAGGCTCCGCCACGTGGAGCTCTCCTATGTGTGCAAGCGTGCGCACCCCCCTGTCCCTGTACGCATGCCCAGTGGTATCTTCTCCTTTTTTAGGATTTGTAAGTTCTTTTTTTGTTTTTTATTATTGTTGGTCATACCTTGCGTTGTGAGACGTGTTGTAGCCAAATTTGGGGTCATTTGGCCCTGTAGTTTTTTTGTTTTAGGGTACTAATGATGACATGAGGATTTTTATATATATAGATTATTATTGTATTGCATTACATTATAATATCATAAATATTATATGGATATACAATATATTATATTATATTATTAGAATAGCACAGGAGACAAGGTAGAACTGTCCCCCTCTCTTCACTGGCCCAGAGTGACAGTTGGTGCTGGGGAGAGGGGTCTCCAACTGATGGCATATCCAGGAGACAAGATGGAACTGTCCCTTGGCCTCCCCTCTCTTCACTCTGGCCCAGAGCGACAGTTGGTGCTGGGGGAAGAGGTCTCCAACTGATGGCATATCCAGGAGATACGATGGAACTGTCCCCTGGCCTCCCCTCTCTTCACTCTCTTTGCAGTCTAGCCACATATTTCCAACCTATATTTTAATCAAATTCAAATTTCCTACTAATCATTACAAATAATTATTCTTTCACACAGATACATGAACTTATGCAATGCACCTGGGATTCTAGCATGAGCTTGGACAAGTACTTTTTCTCTTCGGTAGTGAATGCCTCGTGCTTCAGCTCCTCAAACCGCTTTGTAATCCATTCCCTTTCTTGCAAGGTCGACAGCTGGCTGGTCTCTATAGACATATGTTCACAGTACATATGGTCCAAGTAAGACAATATATCCTCAAGGGATGCTTCCTCCTTTCCCATGTTCAGAAGTCCTGGAATTTTTAAACCAAACAATGCAAACATGCCGTTATAAGATGGAATCCTACTAGCCAGTTATAAAGATTATCCCAAGGAAGGATCAAACCGCTATGCCACCAATTATAAAGTTTATCGGAAAAGGAAGGCCAGGTAGTAGAGAAGTAGAGAAGATTTTTTTAAAAAATTGAATTTATCCGAGAGGGAAAGATATAACTGTGTATAGCTATATCTTAATGATGTCTGAACTGAGAGGTTTTGTAACTGTTTCTTCAATTGGGGTATGCTGCCACCTTATTGTTTAAGTATTCAGGCTGAGTTATATGTGTGGAGATGATACTTAGTAACACCCTTCTGTGTTACTAGGGTGTTTATTGTCCTCAGAGGGTTTAAATATCAATGACGTTCACACAAAGGCTGTTGTAATGTGTTAACTATAATAAAATGTTTATTTAACAGGCTTAAACTCTTCTGGTACAAATGTGTAATGGTTTCTGTAAGTTAATGGCACAAAAGCTTTTGCTTACGTTTGATGTACAATTCTTAGATGGCTACTGGGTTCAAATCTAGAGTTAACAAACAGGAGATTATCTCAGGAAACTAATCTCTGGTGATAATTCCAATCCAAATTCCCACTCTCTGGAATCTAGCCAAACAACTTTGGTCTAGCCTTCCACAGGAATAAAAGCAAGGTCCTGTTCTCACTTTCAGAATTCTTGGCTAATTCCTCTAGCCCAAAAGATTAACCCAATTCTCCTATCTAGTACTATCCAACTGTGAACACCAACCGACTACCTAGCTCCCAACTAACAAATCCCAACTGCCAAAACTCAAGCCTCAAATTCAAAAAGTACACTTTTTCCCTCTATTTGAATGTTAGGCTCCACCCCCTATTCCTAACCAATCCTAGCCATCTACTCTTTGCTTACTGGACTAGGCCCCCTCTAAGAAAACCTGGCCTAAGATGGCATCTCCATGTTTCCTATCCTAAAATGGCCCCCAGGGCTTCGCTAGGCCCACATTCTAACTGTTCAGGCCGACAGGCCCACATTCTGGCTGCTAAAGGTAAGGGTTCTTCACACCAGTCATAAATAAAGTGAAAGTTTTTGCTGTTCTTTTTGAGAAATAAACTCATGGGCGAAGACACTGCTACACTGCAACAGGGAATTCATAAATACCAAATTAATGCTCCTTCTGCACTGGCATATAAAATCCAAATAATCTGCTTTGAACTGGATTGTACAGAACTGTAGTCTCATATAATCCAGTTCAGAGCAGACAATATGGATTATTTAATTTGATAATTTGGATCTTATGGCAGTGTAGAAGGGGCCTAAGAAAACTCTCCAATATATTATTTCTTTGAGCATCACATATCTACTCACTGACTATTGAGACAAGAAACAATTTATATTGTTGGCATGAAATTTACGTTGTGATGGTAATACGCCACTATTTTGCCTGTACAGAGAATCCTTAAATCAGGAAAATTAAATCATTCCTTGCCACTCTGGTATTACTTTTTCCTGGTGTCAGCTAGCATCACTCGTATGTGAAGCAACACATCCTTCACCCATCCCATATAAAACTGTTTATTGATATTACTGGGATTGGACCATGGGGAATTGATTCCTGGCTCCAACAGTTCTCTTATTCTGCCATTTTCCAAACTACATATTTATTATTATTATTATTATTATTATTATTATTATTATTATTATTATTTCATGCATTTCTACCCCGGCCTTCTCCCCCCAAAGGGGGACTCGGGACGGCCTCACACAAGCATCATGTGATGCTATCAGCATATAAGCAAACAAGGATTACAGTTAAAATAGTAAAATCATTAAACCACATTATACAAATTCATTAAACAATAAATTAAACATGCAATTAAAACTAAGACCAAGTCGGGTAAATCCAATGTCGCAGATGTCCTAAATTTTATTTCCAATTGCCACTGTCCACTAATCGAATGCCTGGTCCCAAAGCCAAGTCTTCAATTGTCTTCTAAAGGACAGGAGGGAGGTGGCCAACCTGGTGCCCTTAGAGAGGGAGTTCTACAGACGGGGGGGGGGGGGGGCACTGCTGAGAAGGCCCTGTGTCTCGTCCCCACCAACCGCGTTTGTGAAAGTGGTGGGATCGAGAGCAGGGCCTCTCCTGATGACCTTAAGCTTCATGATGGTTCATAACAAGAGATACGTTCGGACAGGTAATCTGGGCCAGAACCGTTTAGGGCTTTAAAGGTTAAAACCAGCACTTTGAATTGTGCTTGGAAGCTGATGGGCAGCCAGTGGAGCTGGTGCAACAAAGGAGAAGTACGCTGCTGAATGTTGGACTAATTGAAGCTTCCGAGAAGTCTTCAAAGGTAGCCCTGTCAAAAGAAATTCAATGTGCAGATTTGACAAATATGAATTTAATATGATGTGTGGGAATGAATGGAAGGATGGATGTATTTTGGAAAAACCAGTATAATATTAAGGTCTGCAATGACTAACTATCTGTTTGCTGCTTTGTGATTAAAACCTGTTAATGAGATCTGAAGAGTAAACTCGGATAAGAATTGGGACAGTGATAACAGAAATGTTTGCAACATTCCTTATGTTAAGAAGGAAGTCAACATAAGATCAACACCAATCAAGAAGATCAACATCTGGCCAGGAAACTAAGATGGAGCCAGGATGGAAGACGTCTATCATTAATTCACAACTTTGGGACTACATCAACAGAATATTCCTACAAAAGACTCAGTCTAATACTGCTCAAATAGTGACCGACCTGAGGAATCTGGTTCACCCGCTATGCTCTGCTCCATGGGAAGGAGAGAGATAGTGTACTATGGAGTGGCAGATCTACAAGGGAGCAGTCTGGTCACTTTGGGGCTTCTTTCTCAAGGGAAGAGGAAGAAATACGCTTTTGGAGTCTTAGATTTTGTGCAAGGAGTCAGGTTCTGCTGTATGGAAAACAGAGATCTGGTCCTTGGCATTGTTATTAGGGAAAGAAGTTTTGGTATTTCGGTGTTTTGAAGTTTTGGCGTTATGGACTATGTGTTGACAGGCTGCAGGAAAGCGGGGTCTGGCCTAAGAGGTGCGTCTCCGAGGAGGGAGAAAAGGATATGGTAATATTTTGGATGCATGTGGATGCATGTGTGTACATGTGTGTGAATGTTGAGTGAAAATGTAATTCCCCTTTGTTTGTTTGTTAACCAATGTAATTGTGAATCCAATGTAGTTGCATAGAATCTGTATGTCTGTATGTCCAATGTCATTCTTTGTCTAAATGCTTTTCTATAATCTGATATACCTACTCACACTGGAAATTGATGTGTGATGATGATGTTTTTATTGTACTTTGTTGTACTATTTTAATATGTAATGACGTTGCACTTTGTTGTACTTATATATTGTATTTGCATATATGCTGTAAACCGACCTGAGTCCCTCGTTGAGGTGAGAAGGCCGGTACAGAAAACGTCTAAATAAATAAATAAATAAATAAATAAATTGCAATAAAAAGTACCTATGCTTCAAAGTTATTGAAAAGTCATTCATGACAGCCCCACATAGTGTTGCAGTAGTCTATTTGGGATGTAACCAGAACGTGGACCACTGTGACCAAGTCAGACTTCCCAAGGAATGGGCACAGCTGGCGCACAGGTTTTAATTGTGCAAAGCTCTCCTGGCCACCACCGAGACCTGGGGTTCCAGGCTCAGCGATGAGTCCAGGACCACTCCCAAACATAATACAGGCAGCCTGTATTATCAAACTGACTTGATTAGTGAATTTCTGCCTGCTGGTGGAAAAGAGCATGGCTATTTAATAATTCTGCAAGATCCAACTGGGCACAGAAAGTGGATTGCATTGCTTCTGTCAAAGTCACCAGGCTCCAGTGAATTGAAAAAACTTTATTTCGGGGGCTCGAAAATCCTGAGGAGCAAGTTTAAAGAATGCAAAAGAAAATACATGGTAGTGTTTTGACAGGTTTGGTTTCCACTCATTTTGATGTAAGCAGTGAAATCAAGCTTAGGCACCCAGGATATAGTCAGTTCAAATGGTTCTAGTGAAGCTAGTGAAGGTAAATATCCTAAATTAAATATTAAACAGAATACAACACAGGAATAAACTGTGACGTGACAACACATGTTGATCAAAAATCCAAAAGAGTTGGAGAAGGAACTGTTGCCCAGCCCATACCTGCAATGTTGAAAGGTCCCTGGAGTCCTTCAGTCAGAACTTGGATTTCAGGTACCATATCCATCACAGCTTGACCAGCAAACAAAGGGTTGATTTTGGCAGCTTTGTGGCCATGTTCATGGTATGCAGTTACTAGCCGAGCTAGCCCATGGTCGACTGAGAATGAAGAAACAGCATTGAGTTTACTTCACATGCACAGAGACAGAGAAAAAATGAAGACAACCATTCATCAAGGTTTCTTCTCCATTGTGTGGACTGGATGTGTTAAAACTACTCCAGTATTTTCAGTTTTAGATTTTAAGTTTTGAAAGCTGCACAGGAAAAATCACCATCTCTCTGTAGAAAGTTCTGTGGATTCTCTAATGCAGAATTTGCCAAACTGGTCCACAGAACCCGAGGATTCCACAAAGGCACCATAGAGGTTCTGCAAGAAATCTTAGTGTATGTATGTATGTGTATATATGTGTATATGTGTATATATGTGTGTGTGTGTGTTTTTGTTTTTTTGTTTGTTTTAATTATTTCATTATATTGTATATAATTTTTTTCATTTCTCCCATTTTTTTTCTTTTTCATTATTCTTATTCTTCATTTCCAACTTAAGAACAGGGAAGGAATCCCACTGGAGCACTGCAGCGCACCCAAATACCTGGGAGTCACTCTTGGCCGTGCTCTGACCTACAGGAAGCACTGCCTGAATATCAAGCAAAAAGTGGGTGCTACAATAATATCATACGAAAGCTGACTGGCACAACCTGGGGATCACAACCAGACACAGTGAAGACATCTGCCCTTGCACTATGCTACTCTGCTGCTGAGTATACATGCCCAGTATGGAACACATCTCACCACATCTCACCACGCTAAAACAGTGGATGTGGCTCTTAATGAGACATGCCGCATTATCACGGGGTGTCTGCGTCCTACACCACTGAAGAAATAGCACTGCTTAGTTGGTATTGTACTACATGACATCCGCCAGGAAGTAGCAGCCAATAGTGAAAGGCAGTGATATCTCCAGCTCATCCCTTGTTTGGGAATCAGCCAGCACGTCAACAACTTAAGAAATAGTTTTCTAAGATCTACAGAGACACTCGCTGGAACACCTCAGCAAGTGAGAGTCTAAAAGTGGCAGGCTCAAACCCAGAACCTCAATCAATGGCTGATACCAAATGAGAGACTCCCCCCGAGCACACAGAAAACTGGGCGACTTGGAAGGCGCTGAACAGACTGCGCTCTGGCACCACGAGATGCAGAGCCAATCTTAAGAAATGGGGCGACAAAGTGGAATCCACGACATGCGAGTGTGGAGAAGAGCAAACTACAGACCACCTGCTGCAATGCAACCTGAGCCCTGCCACATGCACAATGGAGGACCTTCTTGCGGCAACACCAGAGGCACTCCAAGTGGCCAAGCTTGCAAACTTTGTGTTTTGTCTGTTTGTTTGTTTTGTTAAAAATGTAATACTGCTGTCTCGTTGCTCCTGACACAATAAATAAATAAATTTCCAACTTCTCTTTCAACCATGTTCACCCACTTTCGTTATATAAGAAACCAATTATCGTAGTCATGTTAATGACTTTTTATCCTGGAATAATGTGTGATGTCGTTTTATGTTTATTTGTTTGTTTATGTCGAAGTCATTTACTGATAAAAATAAATTGTAAAAAAATCTTTTAAAAAATCTTTACAAAAATAATTTTTTAAGTCTGTGCCAGAGTATGAAGGTCTTATCAAAATACAATGTACCTTGTCTTTAAAAAAACTAAATTTAAATCTGTGCCTCTGAGGCCCCTTCTACACTGCCATATAAAATCCAAGTATTTGCATTAAACTGGATTATTTGGCATATAATCCAGTTCTAAGCAGATAATGTGGATAATCCTACCCAGTCAATTTTAAATTGCGAATTTTCATCTGCATTGTATCAGTGGATTATAACTCGTCTTTTAATTCTGTGTGTCCTTTTTATCATGTTTTATCTCTTGTTTTAATGATGTTGTATCAAGCTGCAGGGAGTGGTGGGCAATGCTATTATTATTATTATTATTATTATTATTATTATTATTATTATTATTATTATTATTAGAAACACAACAAGATGAGTCCACAGCAAATAAGATTTCTCTGCTGGCTGTTGTATTGGATCACACGTCGGACACTTCCCAACTGTCTAGGACTGTGTGATGTATTGGCGAATAATGCGTGCAGATCCCAGTAAGTGTTGTGGCTCAGTCTGAGCCTGAGCTTTCTGAACCTGCTCAGGACGAGGAGGAGGATGGGTTACAGATTTTTAAACATGTTCCGGTCAGTGAGTCAAATGAGGCAGACAGTGTTGATTCTGAAGAAGAGACAGCATTTCTGTTCCCTAGAGAAAGGAATGTGTTTTCAGATAAAGATAGTGAAACTTCGGAGCTCCAGGTGGAGGCTCCTTCTGGGAGCACTGGGCCTCCTGATTCCCAGGGTGACCAGGCCCGGCTGGCCGAAGATAATGAGCTAACCGGCCTTGAAGATAGTCGTGGAGATTTGATTAGAGAAGACCGGTTGTAATTAAGAGTTTGAAGAAGCACACGCCTTGCTAGCAAGCGTGAAGCTAGAGGTCAACGTAATACTTTTATGTTGGGGAAACTTATTTAATGATCAGGTCGAAGGGCATTCTCTGTCAGTCCAATGTTGCTTTTACCCTGTTAACTTCTGTGGAATTACCTTGGCTTTTACGGAAAGCTTCTGGCTTTTTGGGACTTTGATTCTGATCCTGATTTTTTGAGACCTTGTCTTATTGCCATGGACTTTTGCTTAACCAATGCTAAAGGACTGTGTTTCATGTTATTTGCCTTTGGAACCTGGGAACTTTGTCTTTGCATTTAAGACTCTGTATTGCTCATTGAACTTTACTTCTTTAGTTTCCTGTTTTGATTTTGCTTTTTCTCAATAAACTACAAAACCTACAGCCTTGGTGTGTGGTGGTGTCTTGGGCAAGGTGAATCTATCCTGAGTTGCGACAGTAAGGTGGCCTTTGGCAGCTAGCAGATGGTAATTTTGTCAGTACCAATTGTGTTTAAGTACAGGCCAAGGTCTTTAGGCACTGCACCCAGTGTGCCGATCACCGCTGGCTTGTGCCAGAGCCTTTGCAGTTCGATCTTTAAATCCTCATATCATGTCAGCTTTTCCAGTTGTGTCTCTTCAATCCTGCTTTCACCTGGGATTGCAACATCAATTATCCATACTTTGTTTTTTAACACGATAATTATTATCATTGACACAAAAGCACAGTATGTCACAGCATACGAGATCTATATGCTGGATTTCGTATCACAAAATCACAAGTCGAACACTTCCCAAGCGTCTAGGACTGTGTGATTTTTTTTTTTATTATTATTATTATTATTATTATTATTATTATTTATATACAAAACACACTTGGGCAATACGAACAGATAAAAAAGGAGGACCTTTGTGAGTTCACAATGCTTAGTGACATAATTAAGGTTCGATGACCCAAAATGTTTAGGAACCGCTACTCTAATGTATCCATAAAGCTGCCATCTAACCACATTTCTCTCATTCATTTCGATTACAAAGATATTTAAGAAACATATTCAAGACTAGCTGTGTTGGCCATACAACAAAATAAATCAAAACCTACAAAAGAGCAATCCTTTGGGAAATCCAAAATGCACAAAACACTTCAAACAAGCTCTCCAAGTTCTGCAGGTTTCACCATCAGGCAAAACATGTTAAGAAGCAGACAGGAAAAGAAAAGCAAAGGTGTTTTGCACACATAAAGGGGTAAAGGCGTAGAACTATCAGGGATCCCTTCTAGGTAGGTAAAGGTTTCCCCCTGACATTAAATCCAGTCGTGTCCAACTCTGGGGTGTGGTGCTCATCTCCATTTCTAAGCCAAAGAGCCAGCGTTGTCCGTAGACATCTCCAAGGTCATGTGGCCAGCATGACTGCATGGAGCGCCGTTACCTTCCCACCAGAGCAGTACCTATTGATCTACTCACATTTGCATGTTTTCGAACTGCTAGGTGCTGATAGTGAAAGCTGGAGCTGACAGCGGAAGCTCATGCCGCTCCCTGCAATCTTTCGGTCAACAAGCTCAGCAGCTCAGCGCTTTAACCCACTGCACCACCGGGGGATCCCTTCTACACTGCCATATATTCCAAATTATCAGAGCGGATCATCTGGATTTTATATCGCAGTCTAGAAGGGACCTCTGGGAAATGGAGTAGGGCTGGCTCTGCTCTATAGAATTAATGAAGTTTGACACCATTCAGGCCCCTTCTATACCGCCCTGTATGACAGGATTTGTTCCCAGATTATCTGTTTTGAACTGGATTATAAGAATCTAAACCCAGGTCCTCAAACTACGGCCCAGGTGCCGAATACGGCCCTCCAAGGTCATTTACCCGGCCCTCGCTCAGGATTAACCAAGGTCTGAAATGACTTAAAAGCACGCAACAACAACACCAACAACAATCCTATCTCATCAGCCAAAAGGAGACACACACTTCCCAATGAAATACTAATAAGTTTATATTTGTTAAAATTGTTCTTCATTTTAATTATTGTATGGTTTTTAAGTGTTATTAGCACTACAAATAAGATATGTGCAGTGTGCATTGGAATTCATGTTTTTTTTCCAAATTATAATCCGGCCCTCCAACACTTTTGAGCGACTGTGACCTGGTTGGTGCCTCAAAGGTTTGATCTGATCTTGGGTATATCTGACCTACTGATTCCAAAATAAAATAAAATAAAATGACAGCAGTTTTCCCCTATCAGCTCTAGATTTTGAATCGCAGAACGTATGCCACCTATCAGTTGTCATCTACTTGCCTACAGAAAACCAATAAAACCATATCTCGGGTCCCTTTCTCATCCCCGATTATCTACTTATTCTAGACTAGCCATCCCTTGCCATGCGTTGCTGTGGCCCAGTCTGTTTATATGTTCTTTGTGTGTATATGTGTATATGTGTGTTTGTGTATATATTGTGGTTTTGCACATGCGTTGTAATGTGTTTTTTATTTTTTGACTTTTTAAGTCTCTTCTGCTGTGTTTTTCAGTGTTTTTATGAGTGATGGTCACTTGTTGGCCTGATCATTGTATTGGGTCCAAATTTGGTGTCAATGCGTCCAGTGGTTTTTGAGTTATGTTAATCTCACAAATGTACATTTTTATTTATATAGACTAATCGTCGCCTGACACGTGTTGCTGTGGCCCAGTCTGTGTATATGTGTTTTGTGTGTGTGTATATATGTTTTTGTGTATATATGTGGTTTTGGTGCATGCGTTGCAATGTTTTTTTTATGTGTTTGGCTTTTTAAATTCTCATCTGTTGTGTTTTCCAGTGTTTTTATGAGTGATGGTCACTCATTCGCCTGAGAGGTGTATTGTGTCCAAATTTGGAGTCAATTTGCCCAGTGGTTTTTGAGTTATGTTAATCCCACAAACATTACATTTTTATTTATATAGACTAGCCGTCCCCTGCCACGCGTTGCTGTGGCCAACATGGGGGTTCTGTGTGGGAGGTTTGGCCCAATTCTATCGTTGGTGGGGTTCAGAATGCTCTGTGATTGTAGGTGAACTATAAATCCCAGCAACTACAACTCCCAAATGTCAAGATTCTATTTTTCTCAAACTCCACCAGTGTTCACATTTGGGCATTAGATATTGAGGCATGTAGCCGGGGGGGGGCTTGAGGGGCTTCAGCCCCCCCCCCGAAATTCTCATGGTGGTTCGCGAAAAGGCCTTACTGGTGCATTATTTAAACTGTTACGTTTATTCATATCATGATCTGATCACCATACTCAATATATCCCATATGCATGGGGGTATTGGGGTAACGATACAAAAGGTTTGCTAGGGTAGACCCTCTTTCACTCAGACTCAGCCCCCCCAAACCAAACTCAGCCCCTCCCGAAACAAAAGCCTGGTTAGGTGCCTTGTGTCCAAATTTGGTGTCAATTCGTTCAGTGGTTTTTGAGTTCTGATAATCCCACAAACTAACATTACCTTTTTATTTATATAGACTAGCCATCCCCTGCCACACGTTGCTGTGGCCCAGTCTGTGTATATGTGGTTTTTGTGTGTGTGTATATATGTGTTTATGTCTGTGTATATATTTGTGTATATGTGTATATATGTGTGTTTGTATATTTTATTTATTTATTTATTATTCAAACTTATATGCCGCCACGCCCCTGAGGCTCTGAGCGGCTTACAAGAACAGGCTAAAATCTAACACAATTTAAAAACAGCAATATCAAGGATCAAAGGCCTGTCGAAACAGATATGTCTTACATGCCCTGTGGAAAGCTGATAAGTCCCGCAAGGCACGGACTTCAGGTGGCAGAGTATTCCAGAGTGATGGTGCCACTGCTGTAAAGGCTCTGCATCTGGTTGCTGTTAGACGCAAGGTCTTGACATTGGGAATTTCCAACAAATCTTGGTCCTCAGAACGGAGGGATCTCTGGGGTTGGTAGGGGGTGAGGCATATATGTGTGTGTGTGTGTATTTATAGAATCAAAGAGTTGGAAGAGACCTCATGGGCCATCCAGTTCAACCTCATTCTGCCAAGAAGCAGGAATATTGCATTCAAATCACCCTTGACAAAAGTGTATACATTTGTATATATTTGTGTATTTGTGTTCATGTGTGTATATGTATATTGTGTATATGTGTGTGCTTGTGTATATGCATATATGTGTGTATGTATGTATGTGTGCATGTGCATATGTGTATTTCTGTGTTTATATGTATATATGCATATTGTGTATATGTATGTGTTTGCGTATATGCATATATGTGTGTTTATATGTGTAGGTATGTGTATATGTATGTAGGTGTATATGTGTGTTTATACTGTATATGTATATTTGTGTGTGCTTGCGTACATATATATGTGTGTCTGTATGTATGTGTGCATGTATATATGTATATGTGTGCATATATGTGTATTGTGTATATGTGTGTGCTTGTGTATATGCATATATGTGTGTTTATATGTGCATATCTGTGTGTGCTTGTGTATATATATGTGTGTGTCTGTAAGTATGTGTATATGTATATGAATGTATGTGCATATGTATACATTGTTTATTGGGGGGGGGGGGGTTAAAGTCTATTCTGCTGTTTGTGTGTGTGTGTTTTAGGGATGATGGTCACTCGTTGGCCTGATAGGTGTCTTGTGTCCAAATTTGGTGTCAATTTGGTTTTTGAATTATGTTAATCCCACAAACGAACATTACATTTTTATTTATATAGATTATACGACAGTGGAGACTCATATAATCCAGTACAAAGTAGATAACCTGGGGTCTGATCCTGGGATATAAGGACTGTGTAGAAGGGGCCTAAGGGCCCTTCTACACTGCCACATAATCCAGATTTGTGTATGTGTGAGTCTGTTAGGAGTGACTTGAGAAACTGCAAGTCGCTTCTGGTGTGAGAGAATTGGCCATCTGCAAGGACGTTGCCCAGGGGACTCTTGGATGTTTTGATGTTTTACCATCCTTGTGGGAGGCTTCTCTCATGTGCCCGCATGGGGAACTGGAGCTGACAGAGGGAGCTCATCCGAGCTCTCCCCAGATTCGAACCTGCGATGCCTCAGTCTTCAGTCCTGCCGGCACAAGGGTTTAACCCACTGCGCCACCGGGGGTTCCTATATAATCTAGATCAGGGGTCCTCAAACTTTTTAAACAGAGGGCCAGGTCACAGTCCCTCAAACTGTTGGAGGGCCGGATTATAATTTGAAAAAAAAAATGAATGAATTCCTATGCACACTGCACACATTTTATTTGTAGTGGAAAAAACATTTTAAAACAATACAATAATTAAAATGAAGAACAATTATAACAAAGATAAACTTATTAGTATTTCAATGGGAAGTGTGGGCCCGCTTTTGGCTGATGAGATATGATTGCTGTTGTGGTGGTGGTGGTGGTGTGCTTTCAAGTCATTTCAGACTTAGGTTGATCCTGAGTGAGGGCCGGGTAAATGACCCTGGAGGGCTGCATCCGGCCCCCGGGTCTTAGTTTGAGGACCCCTGATCTAAATGATCAAATCAGAAAATCCACATCATCTGTATTGAACTGGATTAAATGAGTCTACATTGCCATATAATCCAGTTCAAAACAGATAACCTGAATTTTAGATGACAATGTAGAAGGGGCCTAAAAAGCTAGGGCTTCTTTGTTGTTATTGCTATGGTCACGCAATAGTTTTTTGCAGTTTAAAAGATTCAACTTTTGTGGTGTCCATCCTTGCCCTCCCTATTGGAAAAGGGGCTTTTGTCTTTTTTGGGAAATATTTTGGTTTCTTTGCCCCTACAATACAGTCTAGGTAAAGGTAAAGGTTTTCCCTTGACATTAAGTCCAGTCGTGTCCGACTCTGTGGGTTGGTGCTCATCTCCATTTCTAAGCGGAAGAACCGGCATTGTCCAAAGACACCTCCAAGGTCATGTGGCCAGCATGACTGCACGGAGCATCGTTACCTTCCCGCCGGATTGGTACCTATGGATCTACTAGCACTTGCAGTCTATACAAGGCAATTTTCTCAAGGAATGCCCCCCCCCCCAAAAAAAAACCCCCAACAAAACAAAACCCAGGAACAGACCTACCACAAAGGCCCTTCCACACAGCCATATAACCCAGAAAATTAAGGCGGAATAACCCACAATATCTGCTTTGAACTGGATTATCTGAGTCCACACTGTCCTATAATCCAGTTCAATGTTTTATTGATTTATATTAACTGTATGCTACTGTTTTAATTGTTTTATGATGTTTTTGAGCATTGAATTTTGCTGTTGTTAACCGCTCTGAGTCGCCCAAGGGCTGAGAATATACAAATATAGTAAATGAATCTATATAAATAAAAATGTAATGTTCATTTGTAGGATTAACAGAACTCAAAAATCACTGGACGAATTGACACCAAATTTGGACACAAGACACCTAACAACCCAATGTATGTCCTTTACTTAAAAAAATTGATTTTGTCATTTGGGAGTTGTAGTTGCTGGGATTTATAGTTCAACTACAATCAAAGAGCATTCTGAACCCTACCAACGATGGAATTGAACCAAACTTGGCACACAGCTCTCCCATGACCAACAGGAAATACTGGAAGGGTTTGGTGGACAGTGCCCTTTGGTTTTGGAGTTGTAGTCCACCTACATCCAGAGATCACTGTGGACTCAAAAATGATGGATCTGGACCAAACTCTACACGAATACTCAATATGTCCAAATGTGAACACTGGCGGAGTTTGGGGAAAATAGACCTTGACATTTGGGAGTTGTAGTTGCTGGGATTTATAGTTCACCTTCTGAACCCTACCGACGATAGAATTAGGCCTCCCTCACAGAACCCCCATGTGGGCCACAGCAACGTGTGGCAGGGGACGACTAGTAAATAATAAATGTAGATTCTATCCAGCTGTGTGGAAGGGGCCCCAAGACACCAAGCTGTGTTCCCAAGAAGGGATCTGAGCCACATGCCACTGCCTCTCAGGGCACAGAGGCCCAATCTCCACTGCCATATTATCCAGTTTCTGATCCCACATCATCTGCTTAGAACTGGATTATCTGATAGAGTAGGCTCATATAATCCAATTCAAAGCAGATGATCTTGGATGAGATGCTAGATTATATACCAGTGCTGCACCAGCATGAGAGTGCATTGACACCGCAGAACTAGTGCAGTGTGGCACCGCTCAGAGCAGTGGAATCGTGGGAGTTGTAGTTTGCTGATCCCCCAACACTCTTTGGTCGATTTCATAGCATGGAGCAGGGCTGTTAAAACGGTTTCAGGCGTCATTCCTTCTCCAATGCTGGTGCCCACCACTCCCCCGCGGGGGCATTGCTTGGGCACCGTCCAACCTGCTCTCCGGGAGGGGTCCGGTCGCTCCCCGCCGCCCTCGGCCTTTCGGCTAGGCTTGTAGCCGTAGACGCCCCTCTCGGTCTGGTAGCTGCGGTGCAGGGGCGCCGGGGGTCTAAGGAGCCCCCTCCGACCGCCCAGCGCCAGGACCCCGCGGAAAAGCCCGGCCATTCCCCTTCGAAGGCGCCGGAGACAGGGAGGGAGGGGGAGCGACGTGAGGAGACGCCCCCGGCGCTGATTGGCTGGAATGGGGGAGGCGGGGCGATTGGCCCCGCCCAGAACAGCCAAAGGTTTGTTTGGCGTTCCCTTTTAGGAAAAGGGGGGGGAGGGGCGGAGCTAGTGCTCTGGCTTGCACTGCCAAGGCTCCAGGCTAGGGAAACCTGACAGCTAATGTGGTTGAATCCAAATTAATAAGAGGCAAAAAAATCAATCAACCTCAACATATTTATTTATTTACAGCTTTTATATTCCGCCCTTCTCACCCCGCAGGGGACTCAGGGGGGATTACAGTGTACACATATATAGCAAACATTCAATGCCAATTTTAACATACAACATATACAGACATACACAGAGGCTATTTAACTTTTTCTGGCCGCCAGGGAAGCTGTCGCTTTAATCGTCCATCTGCGACGCTGATGAAGCACTTCCGCATTCCCCGCGTGCTTCCCCGCTGGAATGCTTTGCTGGAGTCTTCTTTATGGCCTCATAAATCAGTTAATTTAGCCTCCCCACACTTTAAGGTGATACCTTGTTTTCCTACTTGACAGATGCAACTGTCTTTCGGGTTGCAAAGGTCGACGACAGGCTACACACAATTGGTTGGAAACCCACTCCAACCCGGGCTGGCTTCGGACTCATGACCTTTTGGTCAGAGTGATCTTAATGCAGCTGACACTCAGCCAGCTGCACCACAATCCCAGTGAATGTAAGGAGCCTTCAACCCTCTGTGAATACTGAAATCTATGGGTGCTCAAGACCCATTACAATGTTGTAGCAAAATGATTTAGATCAGGCGGGGCCCTCAAACTTTGTAAACAGAGGGCCAGGCCAGAGTCCCTCCCTCACACTGTTGGAGGGCCGGATTATAATTGGAAAAAAACATGAATTTCTATGGACACTGCACATAGATTATTTGTAGTGTAAAAAAACACTATAAAACAATACAATAATTAAAATGAAGAACAATTTTAACATGTAATGTTATTAGTATTTCAATGGGAACAGAGGCTGCCCTAGGTAATTTTCAACCGTCAGCAAACAGTATTTCCCCCCCCCCCCCCCGCCCACCAATCACTGATATCTATATCAATAGGCATGGACAAATTTTGGCCCTCCAGGTATTTTGAACTTCCTACTGGCTGTTTGGAATTGTAGGAGTTGAAGTCCAAAACACATGGAGGGCCGAAGTTGGCCCATGCCACACACACACCCACCCACACACACACATATACATACATACATATATATATATATATATATATATATATATATATATATTAGCCGTCCCCTGCCACCCATTGCTGTGGCCCTGTATGTTGATCTGGAAAATAAAGTAATGAGAAAGTGTTGGCTTCTAATATACGTAATGTCTTTATGCTTGTGGGTAAACAGTGTTTCTTGCTGTTTCTTTGCCAATGTTGATGTGGAGATTGTTTGGTTTACCTACTCAGGAACATGCAACATATAGTTACCCCTGCAAAGGGCTTGCCCCAATTCAAAGAAAAGGGTTTCAGGAGAGAGAAGTTACGATTTATTATTTATTATTCTTAATGGTGCCACCAATTTTTGATGTGAGGTAATTTTGGGAGATTGGGCACACTGAACGCAGAACTAATGGAGATGAGGCAGTCTTAAAATCAAAGAGAACAAGTTTATTTTGAAACAAAGCGTATGGTTGCAGTTTGGTGATAAACTTGGAAGATACTTGGAGAACGTTACATATAACTTGGTTGCGATACAGTACAGACTTCTGATGTTACAACTTATCAATAACTTTTGCTGTGGTGAAGCACTTTATTAAACAATGGTTCCTGAGGTGAATAGTCTTCCTGTTTGATCCTTCCGTGATCAAACCTCAGATCTCTAGTTCACTTTTAACTAGTGATCTAAACAAGCTTCTATTAGTCTTCTCTAACTAATGAAACTAATAAGGTTTTCCCTTCAGCCTTCCTAAACTGAAGAAACCTCTGACTATTCACAAACACTGCTTCTCTACTTCCCACTCTCTCTCTCAACACTTCATTTTCCTGAGCCTAAACCCCCAACTCTTCATTCCTCTGAGCCTAAACCCTGACTCCTCACTCCTCGGAACCTAAAACCTAACTGAACATAAACTGTCGTTTTTCAAACTGTCTAAGCTCCTCCCACTTCTCTCTCTACTGCATCGTCTCCATGGCAACGCACTCCTCTGACTTAGGCCGCTCCAGCATTAGTGCAGCCAATCTAAACATAAATACAGTTAAAATCATACAATTTATAATCAACTTCTGTACACCTTCCCCCCCAGAAAAAGTTATTTTTGGGCCATTCTCAGTCCCAGAATGGGCAAAAATAATTCCACAAATTATCCAACAATATCTAAATACACAATATTTCTGAAATGCAAACATATTATGGTTAAATATATTATAATTCATACATACAAACCTTTAACCTTATGAAATTCTAGTATCATCTATGGATGTGGTATCAAAGTCTCACATTTTTAACGTTTTTCATATAAACAATCTATCTAAACATTTTTATATTTATATATATTCGTAAATATTCATTGTCTATTGTAAAACATATATACCTACCACACTTTAATATAATGGGTTTATATCTTATACCTATGGTATGAAACCTATACAGTTCACCACTGTAATAACATCATACATTTTACAAATCTATAATAAAACAGGATATCAATTTTTTTTAAATATTACACTATACTATATTATACTATATTATACATACATTACCTTTATATAATTTAGATCTATCTGTGATCATCTTCTATCTATTCAATTCTCCATATCAACATCAAATATCCTTGTCCAAATGTGTTTCTATCCCATTAACATATATAATTGACCTTCTACCTAATCTGGTCAATTTATAAGACATTTATCTATATACCATACCACAACTTTTCTCCATACATATGGTCCCAATTTGTTAATAGCCCACACAATAGTTAAACTCCCACATTTGATCGTTGACATAGGTGTCTTAGTGTCCAATGTCCCATGGTTCAAACACAACCTCGGTTGTACTGGACCAACTGTCCACAGCAATGTCTCTTTATGATGATCTTTTAGCTTCTTTCTTCTACTCCTTCGTTTCTTCTTTTTAGGTTTCCTCTTTTGCCCTCTTTGGATGTCTTTTCGATGACCTGGAGATACGGTTTTCTTCCTCACATGACGTCTGCAAGTCTTTTCTGCTCTCTTTTTTGCTGCTGGATTTTCCTCCCAATATTCCTTTATCAGGTCTAGTGGACCACGAGCTTTCCTTCCATATAGCAATTCAAACGGACTGTAGCCAGTACTGTCATGAGGGACAGTCCTGTAGGCGAATAACAGTTGTTGCAGTTTGACGTCCCAGTCGTATGGCTTCTTTTGACTGTAAGACTTTATCATTTTGACTAAAGTCTTGTTCAGATTTTCAACTAGTCCATTTGTCTGTGGGTGATAAGCTGTTGAAGTCAGGTGTCTGATTCCACATAACTCAAGCAATTTTGACATAAGTCTGGAAGTAAATTGAGTTCCCAAATCCGAAACCAATTCTCTAGGATAACCAGTTCTTCCCCAAATGGATAACAGGGCATTTGCAATTGTTGTTGTTTCGATGTTAGTCAGAGCTACAGCCTCTGGATATCTTGTGGCATAGTCAATCATGGTTAAAATGTATCTGTAACCACGTCTGCTTGGCTTACAGAGAGGACCAACTATGTCAATGCCCACTCTGTAGAATGGTTCTCCAATTACCGGCACAGGGATTAGAGGAGCTTTGATCTTATCCCTTCCAGTACTCAGTCTTTGGCATGTATCACATGACTGGCAAAATTCTTTGATTTTCTGGAACATGCCAGGCCAATAAAAGTTCTTAGTGATTCTCTTTGTGGTTTTCCTCACGCCCAGATGTCCACCTTGAGGGTTCTCGTGTGCCACCCTCATCAGCTGTTCTCTAAAACTTTGAGGTACTACAATCTGATTAGATGTCACTGATCCTTCTGTTGACTTCATGTTTCTGGTTTCTCTATACAAGACACCATTCTTTAATACAAACTTGGAGGGCTGTCCTTTTGCTGATACTGTGGGGTTTTGAGCCAAAGTGAACAAAGGTTTTAGAGATTCATCTGCTCTTTGTTCCTGTTGAATTTCTCTGACTCCTCCCGTTTTCTTAATAAGCTCAGCAACCGTAGCACTGGATTCTGGATTCTCATCCCCATCCTGTTGTATGGCGAAACACATGGCTTTTTGATCAGGGCTTTTGTTGTTATATTCTTCCTCCTCACACGTCATTTTCCAGTTTTCAATCTTCTTAGCCAGATCATTTCCAATTAAACATCGGTATGGTATGTCTGGACTGACTGCAAAATCCCACATACCCTTCCAACCTCCATATTCTATTGGCAAAGACACCACTGCTGTTGGTATTGCAGGTCCCAAGCCTTTTAATCTTATTTCAGAGATAGGGCGCTGAAATTTCTGAGGTATTATATCTGGATGTACAATACACACTTCGGACCCTGTGTCCCGCAGTCCTCTCATGTCTTTGTTGTCAATGGAAATGGATTCTAAGTAATCCTCCGATGGGGTGTTTGACAAAATGAACAAACACTGTTTCTCTTGAGGCTCTGTTTCTGAACTCTCCTTTGACACAGTATCTGGTTCTGCCTTCTTTGTTTCTTTTACTTTATTCACAAAGAGGGTTGTTTTCTCTTTTCTTAAAAGGGGACATTGATACTTTATATGGTCCCACTTTCCGCGGGTTTTATCAAACAATTAAAAACAAACAGTCAATCTCCAATTTAAAAAACATATACCATACGTTACAGATTATGGGCCACACCAATAATAAATCTCATGCATCTCGACTAAAATCATAAAATCCAGAATTCCCGTTTGTCCCATGATTTCCCTGGTCCTTAGTCACCAAAAATTTCGATTGCCACAGATTAGCCGAAATGCCTTTGTTTTAACGAAACGTGTTATTTTTCCA